CCGAGTCCGGGGTGCAGGATGCCCGACCCCCGGGCAACCCTCCATCCCCCCTAGAATCGCCGGGGTGACCTCTGCTGTGACCTGTGTCCCAGTTCAACAATCATCTAACCTCCCTTAACAAAAAAAAAAGTTTCCTCGTCACCAAAAATACCAGCCTTGTCCCACTTTAGCCCTTGAGGCCACAAAGGCAGGAATAGCTACAGTATTTAAGCAACTGTAACCAAGTTAGTAGCAAGGCAGGGGAATTCTTCAGTAAAATTCCTTCCTCTTACAAAATCCAGCTCAGCCTGTACGATCAATCTAATTATTACCAAATATAGGTGAATGCAGAAACTAGGATTTGCGTGTTCAAGGGCAAAGAAGCCCAAACACGCCCTCCAGTCATGCGGGTGGGTGGGGGCCCAGAGAAGGCACGTCACTTTCCTTCCTTCCACCCCCGTTTCTGAACAGTTCTGTAGTTGAACTTGTGTCCGAACGCCCGCAGACTTTTTCTGTTGCTTTCTAACCCTGATGAAGCCGTGGTACACATTGTCCAGTGAGCCACCTCATGTTTAAAGACGTGCAGCCCGCTAAGAAAAGTTAAGTCAATAATAAAGTAAAAGTTCCATCGTAGTGGACTAGAGACTCTCAAAAGACCTTAAGGGTGATTAAATTAATAGCTCCAGCAATAAAACTTATTTCCCTTTTTCTTCCCTCCTCTATTATCCAGCATCCCTCTTGGGCAGGCTAGAGGGGAAAGGAGGGAAGATTGTGAGCAAACTGATGATACAATGTATTCCTTCAGTCTGTGCTGATCCATCCACCTCTGCGTCTCTCTTAAGGGCAGAAACCTAGTGTCAGGTCACTGCAGGTACAGTGTTAAAAATTGACAGTTGTGGCTCAAGGAGTAGGGCACCAGCCCCATATACCGGAGGTGGTGGGTTCAAACCCAGCCCTGACCAAAAACTGTAAAAATTAATAAATAAAATAAAGGAACATATCTAAAAACTGACACCTAGGGCAGGATAACCTTTTTTTTTTTTTTTGAGACAGAGCCTCAAGCTATCCCCCTGGGTAGAGTGCCATGGCATCACAGCTCACAAAAACCTCCAACTCCTGGGCTCAAGCAAGTCTCCTGCCTCAGCCTCCCAAGTAGCTGGGACTACAGGCGCCCGCCACAACGCCAGGCCATTTTTTGGTTGCAGCCGTCATTGTTGTTTGGCGGGCCCAGGCTGGGGATCCGAACCTGCCACCTTAGGTGTATATGGCTGGCGCCTTAGCCGCTTGAGCCACAGGCGCCGAGCCAGGATAACCTTTAATAAGGAAAACATATGTTTCTTTTCTTTGATCAAAGGATATTTCCTAGTGCTCTGATTCCCTTTCTGACTATAAATAATGGCCAGGACAAGGAAGCGACTGAGGGGTCATCCCAAAATTGTCTTGGAAGTATTCCCTGGTGGGTGTTCCAAATTGCCAACATAATTAACACTAATTGACTGACTTACTGGCAAATATGGATAAGGATGAAATGGCCTCAGCTTCTTGTGCTGGTTAAGCCCTTTCTTCAGTTTAGCTCATGCCATCCCCAATAAATGATGGAGTGTGGCCAGCGTCTCTTATCACTTCATGACCCTTACCTGCCTCTAGTAAGGACCTTAACTCTGCTGCTGCACCCCAGGGCTCCACTTTCATCATCACACTGGGTCTCAACAGAAACTTTAGCTAGGTGGTAAAGCAGAGAAAAAAATCTGTCACTCTGGATACTGCAGGACCAAGTCTGAAACCATTCTGACTAATGATGAAGTGTCCTCCATTCATGAAGATAACCTGGACATCAAGTACCGCAACTTTTTCCACTTTCTGGAGGGTATCAAAAACAAAGACCCCTCTGGGGAGGATCTAGAAAATGGAGCATTGTGGCAGGGCATGGTGACTCAGGTCTGTAATTCCGACACTTAAGAAGGCTAGAGCTGGGTGGCGCCTGTGGCTCAAGGAGTAGGGCACTGGCCCCATATGCCAGAGGTGGGTTCAAACCTGGCCTGGGCCAAAAACTGCAACAACAACAACAACAAAAGAAGGCTAGAGGATCACTTGAGGCCAGGAGTTGGAGACCAGCCTGGGCAACAGAATGAGACCCATCTCCACAAAAACTCCTAAAAATTAGCTGGATATAGTGGTGGTGCTGTGTGCCTATAATCCTAACTACTCGTGAAGCTGAGCCAGGAAGATTGGGCTCAGGGGTTGAGGTTGCAGCGAGCTATGATTATACCACTGCATTCCAGCCTGAGCAACAGAGGAGAACCTGCCTCAAAAACAGAAAAAGAAAACGGAAAGAAGAAAAGAAAATGTAGCATTGCTCTAATTTCCAAAGAGAAGAAGAAGATTGCTCTTATCCCTTAATAATGACCAGATGTGTGCTGTGTGTTATGTCATTTATGCCCCCCTGCCTATATGGACTGAGGATAGTGGGTGGGGTGTCCTATAGAGACTTGGTAAAAACTTGCTGGAGATCTCCCTAAAGAGCCCTCTTTGGT